AAAATTTTGCTGCTAATTTTTTTCTTGATATAATAAAGGTTTGCTTCTAAAGTTTTTTTATTTTCCATAAACTTCAATCTCGATTTGTTGTCGGTAAAAAAAACTTCTGTTATGTTTGGGGTTTGTAAGCAAATGAAAATGAATTTAAGTAAAAAAATTCAGGGATACTCGAGGATTAGACAGAAGTTCCACATCTTCAGATAATTTAGAACCTCGTCTCTCTGTCAGCGATATACGGGCTCTCTTCGAAAATACACCTTCAGAGGGATTAAGAGAGGAAAATGCGCAACGAGAGGTTATCATTAAGATAGCTATTAGACGTCTGTCCGTTTTTAACTTTTGGAAACATGTCAGTTGCAATGCTTTGTCGAATGAGTGAGCGAGAAGAGGGGACCAATAGCTTTTTGGATTGACGTCCTAACTTGAGAAATTGAAACACTTTTGCGGGGTATGATTAAATAGAATAAATTTTTAATGTGTGCGGTTTTATATCTTCGTTAGGCTTGAAGAAAAAAAGCATGAAAGCAGCAGAAGAAGTGGTTTTTATGGTAGAAATGTGGTCAGAAAGGACTCGGTATAGTTCAAATCTACAAAAAAAAAACTATTTTTGGGCGATTTTTGTCGGGATACTTCATAGAGAGGTTTTTTTGCAATTTAATTTTCTAGAAGTTAGGAATACCTGAAGATCAGCTGGCGTTTTTTTTTACAAAAACATTTGTTTTTAATGGGTCTATTCGTTGTGGTTTTAGAGGAGAGGTGCCGATTCGCCAAATGTGCAAAATTCGCCGGTTTTGCCTGATTCTGCAAACAATAAACCGTAATGCTCTTTTTCTTCAGTTGAACTGCATTATTTTTTTTTCGTTTTTTCACCTCAAATTTACCACAGTTTTTGACAAAAAATGGCTGAAAAGTTTATGAACTTCTTGTTGCTTCTACACTATTGATGAAAAGTATTGAAAATTTAACTGATTAAATCTCATTAAGCAAGTACTGAGTAGGTATTAGCTTTTATAAAGACATAGACTCTGAAAAGTCTTTTATTCAATAAGCGGCTGAAAGTGATCTTACAGACCTCGTCGCCATAACCGTCCAGCTACGCAGCCAATATCAAATGTACGATTTAGAAAGACTCAGGTACAACCTTAAGACGTTAATTATAAATAGTTGACAAAAGGCGTATTCTTTCTGCGTTGTTACTTTAAACAAGGTTTTGGCTAAAAAACTTTTCTGTGAAATATTTGATACAAATTTCTGTAAAACCTTCCTTATTCCGTGCAAGAAGTGAACGATCACTGTGTTATTAATTTTATGTTAAGCAAATCTGGAAATATAGTAAAAAAAGTGACAAGCTAAAAAATACTGAAATTTACGAGACATTTAGGCTTAAGCAACTTTTTGAGGCAGTATTTCAAAAGAGTACTCTAACATTTTTAGGATTCTAATGAATCAGAACAAGAAGCATGTGTAAACAGCGAAATTTCATTCGAAAAGGCGATAAATTTGGTTCAGTCTAAGTACGCTGGCTTAAAAAGCGATAATCAGGAACTCAAAAATAAGGTTAGTCATTTGTTTACCAAAAAAAA